AGTAATGAGATATGCAAACGACTCACTTAGGCGCCTAAGAAGCGTGATCACCAGGTCGTCTTCGCTGACCGGAGCACCCACCGCGTCGAGTTGTTCCGCCAGTGTCTTTATCTTGTTGATGTGCGAAAGCACATCATCGCCTTCCTCCATCTTGGCCGTGAAGAAACGGCGACGAAGAAAGAGTTTGTTGGCTAAGCTCTTCTTCTCAAAGTGGCCTTCCAGCCGCGACCATGCATCGTACGCTCCACTTGCCGACCGAACCAGGGGCAGCTGCGAGTCCTCCATCGCAAGACAGATTATCGCGAGCGCCTTCCTTGACTTGCGCTTGAACGTTGACTGATCCAGCGTAGTGGCAAGGTGTTCCAGCTTGATCTCCCCGCTTGTCACTTCCCAAAGGTCCCGCTCCTCCAGCACCATCTGCATTTTGAACTTCCAAGTGTGGAAGTTCGAACCATCAAACTTGTTGATGCGAGCGTTGGTGGCGGTGGCAGCGTCCATGTTGAAGGCGAAGTCGGCGTCGGGGGCAGAGTCAGCAGAGCTTGGGCTCATAACCTGTTGTTAAAGTACTTGGGTTGTAGAAAGCAAAATGCAAAGTGAATATATTTAGGTCCTTAGTTCACAAACTCTGTTGCTACTCTAAGCCTACTGGATTCTTCGACTACACGTTTCTAATCGCTATATCGCGCATTACTCATGGGATAGCCGCACATGAGTAATCTACTCTACACACATGACTCATCAGATAGTCACTCATGAGTAATCCACGCTAGTGGTATTACTCATGGGATAGGCGCACACCTAACTAATCAGACCGTACATTCTTGTGGTTGCCGTTTACATGCCGAGTCGCTTCTTTTACAACAAAAGAGACGGTATTCGGTAATACCGTATCTTATCGATTAGGATTCGATAAATCGATAACGCTGTACTAAGCACATTATACACAGATGTTTAGACGATACGTCGTCCAATAGCAAAGTCTGCATATAATAATTACTATTATAGTAATTAATCTAGTGTAGTGTATTTAGAGTAGGACTATTCATAAAATCTTAATGCATAAATAAAATCAGTTCTCATTTGAGTTTAAGATCACAAGTCGTTCTGACTTGTTCTCTTGTGCACTTCGTGCGTTGGTTCTATGAACCTTTAAGCTTCTAGCTTGTTCTTGCACTCTGTTAGTTGGTTCTCTGAACCTTAAGCTTATTGCTTGACTGACTAAAAGTCTCTTTCCTCGTTCCTTAGAACAGGGTGACTTTAAGTCGTTTAATTAGTACCTTAGAACTAAGTGGCTTTTAGCCTTAACTCTATTTAGTTCTCTAGAACTAAGAGGCTTTCAGCCTAAAGACTTCCTCTGGCTAAAGAGATGTGCAGCTCCGCTACACTTGGTAGCACTTGTAGTCAATCCTACACCTGAGTCTTTAAAGACTGACCCTCTGTGAGGATGGAGAATCAAAATCACCTATCTGAGGCACAACGACTTGCACTAGATAAATTATCTGCGTTCGTCGGGCCCGATCAAATCGAGGCCTTTTTGGCCCAAGGCCCGGAGGTTTTAAAAGCTCGTCTTGAGGCCTTTATGCGTTAAATCAACGCTACTCGGGCAGGTCAATGACCAGGCAGCGTCAGCTGCGCCTACACAGTACATTCCGGTACCTGTGCCCGATGCAGAGCCAAAGGCTCGCCCACTTGTTTTAAACGTAAAGACCTTTTAGGGGAAGGAGGGAGAAAATCTTCTCCTCTGGATCCGAGAACTTGAAATGGAAATGGATGCCGCCATGATGGTGTCAGATAAGCAACGAGTTGGCTTGGCCATTTCAAAGCTCGGTGGAAGAGCTAGAGAGTGGGCTCTAACGAGCGATGTCTCTGTAGATGCTGCATTCCCCACATGGGAAATGCTTAAAAAGCAATTAACTTGAGTGTTTGCACCGCCTAATCAGGCTTATCGTGTGCGCTCACGCTTCTTAGCTATAAGAAAGAATTGTCGGACTATGTCCAAGAGTTTAGAACTCTCATTGCTGCTATGCAGCAGGAACCTCTGACAGAGGAAGTCCGAGTAACCATTTTTATGGAAGGAATTCGCACTGGGGTCGCCAGGACGGAAGTTTTCCGTGTCCAGCCTTCGACTTTCGAAGAGGCAGTAAGCATAGCGTTTAACGCTGAATTTGATTTTAAATCTGCTTGATATGGTCTGCCCTGGTATCAATCAAATACCTCTAACAGGGCGGAGCCCATGGACCTCAGCCATGCTGAAGAAGCTGAGCTTCAAGCTTCTGAGCAGCAAAGTAACATCCGTAGATGTTACATGTGCGGAAGCACTAGGCATCTCCGCCCTAGCTGTCCGTTGCGAAAGCAATGATCAAATCGGCAGAGCCGAAACCCTGCTCCTAGCTAAAAGGCGAGCACCGCAGGGGGAAAGCGTCAACTTCCAGTGGGTGCGAGGCGCCCTACTGGGAAAGAACTAAGTTCTGTTGAATCTTTAGGAGGTAAAGGTAAACAGGGCTTATCCCCAGGTGGTTCTGTGGATGCTTCCATGGAAAAGGAATACAAGCCAGGCTTGTTGGTTGTGTCGGCAACCGTTACGGGTTTTTGAGAAGCCATGGTCAATTCTAATTGACTCAGGGGCGTCAGGAAATTATGTCCGACGTCGTTCCCTTGAAGGGAGTCAGCTGTATGCTGAGGCGCTAGAAGCGCAAGAGGGCGACAGTATAACCGTTCGTCTAGCAACAGGTGTACGTGTCACCGTTCCTAAAGTTCCGTTGAACTTAGGTGTGAAGTTTTTAGACTTCAATAGCGTTGAACGCTTTCTTGTCCTAAATTTGGACTCGAGATATGATCTCATTTTCGGTATGGCCTGGCTGGAACGCCGTGAGCCATGGATCGATTGGAGATCCAAAACTTTAGGCGCAACGCGCAATGTTCCTAGCAAAGCTTTGGAGAGTCATGAACCCACCTTCGCTAGGAAACAAAAGTGCTATTGGCGCGAGCCATTAACTTATTCAATTAGTGTGCTGGACATTGGAGTGTCTGAGTTGATAAACTCCAATGTCAACAATAATAGTGTCGATCAGAGCTCAGTGACACTTAGTGGAACGGCACGTACTCCGTTGAGTGATACTCAAAGTAATATTGAGACACTGGATGTCGGTAATGACATCGGCTCTCGTATAGAGCAAGTTAGGGTCGATGACCTTGTTAGTGATATTGGCTGTAAATGCGATTTACTGGATGTCGTAATGACATCGACTATCGTATAGAGCAAGTTAAGGTCGATGACCTTGTTAGTGAAGTCACTGGTACTATTGGCTCACTGGATGTCGGTAATGACGTCGGCTCTCATATAAAGAAAGTAAAGGTCGATGACCTTGTTAGTGAAGTCACTGGTACTAGTGACTCACTGGATGTCGGTAATGACATCGGCTCTCGTATAGAACAAGTGAAGGTCGATGACCTTGTTAGTGAAGTCACTGGTACTAGTGAATCACTGGATGTCAATATCGACATCGGCCCTCGTATAGGGTAGGTTACGGTCAAGGGATCTGTTGACCTTGGGGTTGATGGTATCCCAAGTACTTTGAAAAGTACGGCCTCGTCAATGAGACGGCAGCGTCGCCAGATGGCGGCTGCATGACGCAAAGCGTCTGTTTTATCGCGTAGTAATGTCAGTGACCAGTTGTACACCCCATTCAACGGAGTGACAGGTGATGTAGATGGTGAGGTTGATTTTGAGGCCCTCCCATTATTAAATGCTCTCTTAGAGCTAGAATAAATGTCTGTGGATGAATTTTATCAAGCTTTGAAGGATGGTGCTCTATCCGATATGGTGGTCATTCGACCTAACCTCGAGCTGAACTCATCCTCGGTTATCGATGAAGCAGTCCTTGAAAATACAAAGGCGGCACTTAGTGCACGTAGTGGAGCATCTATTCTGAAAAACCCTTCAGATCCCTACTATCCTTTAGTTAAGGAATTTCAGGACGTGGTGTGTCACGATCCACCGTCGTTTCTACCGCCTGATAGGAGTGTACGTCATGAATTTGACTTGGTTCCTGAAACCAAATACTGCGTAACACGGCAGTGGCCTTTACCCAAATAACAGTGAGACGTCATTGAAGAGTTCTTTCGTGCAAAGCACGCGGCAGGTTTGGTGCGCGATAGCAAACCTCCGCACTCGACGCCAACTTTCTGTGATAAAAAACCGAATATCAGGTGGTGTTTTGTTCATGCTTATTATAAGCTCAATGCAGCCACTATACCTGCACAGACGCCTATACCTAGAAAGGATGTTCTTCAGATTAATATG